CTTTTTAGTTAGCAGATTTATATAGCGGACTTCAACAAACTAATAATTTGCCGTTTGCTTGCTGTCATCATCAAATTTTGGCCTATCACTTTTCAGACACCTGCTTGAGGCTCACGTACAGTGTTTGTGGAAGAATTACATTTTCAACGAGTCTTATTCCGTGTATTAAAATAGCGCTTCCATTTGCGAATGAATCACATGGGAGGGCAATTTTCACTGTTGCTTTCATCAAAAAATGTCACCATTAAAATTAATCGTTTGCCACATAAATCTGCCAGCGACCGTTTTCTAAAAAAACTCTTTGCCATAAATATAACACCCGAGAGAGAGGAGGCAGTGGATAGTCCCGGTGACTAAATATATTCAGATATATCAAAGGGATTGAAACAACTCACAGCGCAGTTCTTATGATTGATAAGCTGATGAAATGGTACGTTGTGAATCAAAGCGCGATCAGTTGAAACGAGGGAATGTAATGATGTGTGCAAGTGTACATATGCAATTCCATTGCAGCTAAATTGCATTATAGTTCCTCTTGTAGTAAGAAATATTCTGAGATTTGCGACATCTTCATGAGCAGCATGTGGAGTATTATTATTGGTTATTAATTAGTCATTCGCTAAATTAATTGACATTCGTTCACAAGACATCCTTAAAGCGCATGAAGCCTCTATATCTCACGATCATTCATGCTGTTTGCCATTCGCGTTATAAACAATCTGCTGATATTTGCATATATCTCATTGTTTTCATCTTTCATTACAGCAATCTTCAAAAAATTTCATTTACCGCTATAAGCGAATGGGTTTTCTTTGATGCGCATTGCGCATTCTTTGATGCTTTTTCATAGATGAATGTGTTGTCATTGGCTGACTGATGTGTTGTTTTATTATCGGTATTTCCCTTTCATTCACCGTGGTAGAATTGAGAGGAGCGGTCTTTTGAAGTGAAAATTCAAAAATCCCTTTTGATGTTTATGAATAATATGTGCTGGTTTGCGTATCTGACGTGTGGGACCCGAAAAAATATCCAAAAGTGTCAGATTTTCGAAGATTTTTCAGAAAGTCGAAATATGGTGGCGATTTGAGGAATGCGAATTCACAGTTACGTCCTCATTTGCACTTGCTGTTCGGTTGAATTCGGTCGTACTCACTTCATTTATCGTCCAGAACATTTAAATGCCTCTAATCAAAATCATTCATTAAATCGGATATAGTCGAATCGTATGAACTTATGATGTTATCAGAATGGTGCATTTGCACATTTCTAGGAATAGATGAAATGATCGAAGCTTTACACCGTTTTTATGGCCGTATATCATCAAATAATTGCACTATATTGGTAGTTCAGACACCCTTTACTAAGATCATTCAGGGTTTCATTGAAGAACTAATCTCCACAAATCGAGGCGTTCCCATAAAGCAATAAGTGCAAACATCCAAATGTTTCATGACAGTATTCGGGCATATGATACGGCACAAAAGTTGAGTGATGAATGAAGTCTGACCAATTCTCTTGCACAGGATACTTGCAGAAACGATTTTCGAATTTGTTGCGTCTACATTCTCTCCGATAGGTGTATCATGACAACAGCTGAGATTCCTAAAATCTCATCATTGTTTCAGCACTCCAGCACAACACCATCAGATAAGCTAAATCTCATCATATTGGAATTTTCATCGTATAAGAATTTAGCTCGGAGAATCAAGACAAATGAAAAATTGATTCTATAGTAGTATAATGAGCAGTTGTTTTGCGATCGAGAAATCACTTAGGAGCTATTGACAACATGCGCAATTTCTCGATATTGTTTGCTATGGATTGAGCAAATTTTGAATAGAATTAATTAATGAGGATGCAGCAATGAATTCAAAAATGAAAACCGTTGTTCATTCAGTGTTCTATCCATTAGCTCATTAACTCAGATAAACATTCCGATAAACTCAGTAAATCTTTACCATGTTTATCACCCGATGAAAAATGTTATCAGCTGATCTTTAGATTATTCATTAACGGTCATTTGGTTGTGATATATTGTTGATCATGATTACGACCTCAATTCAGCAGTCTGTCGCCTAACCGCTCTTTTCGTCTTTCATCGTTGCAAAAATTATATAATTACTTTTTTGTGCGAGAAATATCCGATCCCATTGACAAGGACCTATGGGAAATCATAGTGCTCTTATTGTTTGCGTTAGTCATTAATTGTAAGGCTTACAAAATTGTCGAACGAATGTGTCACTTTCCTGCAGTGCAATACTGACTCCATGTTCAGTTTCATCTTGCGACAGATCTAAGCGCTGCTTGTCGATTTCAAAGTTTATTCACTAACGCTCCGTTCAACACATCAATAGACTACCTTTTTAGATCATCATGAAAATTCAGGCCGTTGCCCATAATTTACGTTGATAAATTGTAACTTTTTGGAATCCTAGAACTGAACTCAAATCTCAGAAGATACAGATTAAAATTGCTTGATTCTACATTATTTTAATGCATAACTGGTCAAAATTGACTAACATGCAAACTTAGCGGATTGGGTGTAATACAACCACATCATCTTTAGTGCAATGCATTGATATCGCTGATGTAATATAAGCAAATTAAAATGGATGTTAAGTTGGAAAAAAGAAATTTCATGATTTATTAATTGTAAGGTCCCATCTGCAAGCAATTGATATGTATTGCGTCATTAATGCTTGTCTATTGATAATTCTGTCAAGGGTTTTGATGAATGCTTACTTGTGCTGCATGAAGTGAATGCTAACTATCAACACCACATAATGCAACGTAATTAGTAGACTCGTATCAGTCATCATGTGAATTAACAAGTATTAATTTAGTGTTTCATATCTGTTGCTGTATTGACTCACAAATGAAGATTCGAGTACCCGAACAATTTCCTCTTGCGGATACTGTGTCAAATTATAATCAATGATCTCTTGTCGCTTGTCAACAATTGTCTCTCATTCGTCAAACTCAGCTCATGTCACAAGGTTGGTTCTGTGACATCGGTGAATGCCGATAAGATTCAAACCGATGGTGTACTTCTCCTAAGATCATACTTCTTCTGATATTAATGACTGAATTGGCTGAAAATGTTGTGCATAATTGTTCAATATCTTTCCAATGTCGTTGGATAAAGACTGATAATTAAAGCTAAATGAGAGTCAAAAATGGCAGACGTTGTGTAATGCTCGTATCTCAAAATCCACTCCAGTTTAGGTTCATACTGACAGACTCATGAATTTTCATTTACTCGCCGGCTGTCATTTTGATAGAACGGTCATTTCGTTCATCTTAAACTTGCAGATTTTTAATTTTCTTCTGATGTTGCGCACACCAAGGGCTAATTGCTCTGAGGTATGAATGGTGGCCTGTCAGACCGTAAAGGGAGTAGGTCCATGAATTGTCCAAACTGGCGAATGAATCACTGTGCTATTCACATTGTTGTCGTGTAAACGCTGACTTGAATTGCTCGAGTTGATGTATGGTGAACTGAATAAAATATCTATCATTAGTGGAACATATTTCACATCATTCACGATCAGTTTCCCCTTTGTCGTACTAGATATTAGCAGAATATTTGTTTCCGTCAGAGGAATCATGTGTGTGTGTGATCATTATTGACCTCGTAAACTTAATCACGTGTGGTTTGTTATCGAAAACAGTTTGGAACACATGAAGGAAGTACATTTGCGGTGTTAATTGATACCTTTGCACCGACATTTTCGCTCCAAATTTGGAATGTTTGACTGATGCTAAACGCGTATTTCCTGATTTATACATCACGAATTTGAAACCAATCAGTGATTTCGATGAAATGAGTAAGGTGGCGACTATAAATCAAATTCTATAAATTACTAATGAGCACATTACTTGCTCATACTCCATTATGCGTACTAATTCTGCAAGAATAATCGTGAGCACCACTGCCATTCTCCAAGCCGACATGAACCCGTCGTTTCATATCCGTTACGAACTGAGGCAATCACACTTTTGCACTCAGTATCAGATTTCAATGCATTATGTACCTCTTTCTCGGATTTCCCCGCCTCTAACTCTTTACAGTGAGCCAAAAAAGTTGTTCTTATCTTAATTTTTAAATCAATATCCTTTAGTCTCATGTTGATAGTTTTTGCTCGTTTTGACGGTTATATTTCGCGCTATAGACTAGTTCGCTATGAATTTCGCGTTATTTGTCAGTGCTAGAACAATGCACTTCTGAATAGATCAGTTTCACTGCCTATCAAATTGATAAGATGATGAAGGTTGTGATGAAAGTTATCATCGCGTAATTATCATCGCGTAACCAAACTTCGTTTGACTACATTTAAAGACTCACCATATGGATTAAATGCGAAAATTGCCATTGCATCGACGAGTTCGCACGTTTTCAGTGATTTTAGGCACGACAATTATCTGATGCATTACGCAGTGTTCACGACAATAGCAATCCTGGTCACTGTATTACTTTTTTGTGAACCTACTCACACCGTATCACTGATCAATCGGTTTGTATTTTTTCTGACCTTCAACTCTCCTTCTGGTCTTAATTTTGAGGAAGCCTTGATGATCCATTCACAAATGTGTTGTTGATAACGTTTGTGAGAATCGCATGCAATGATACTCGGCTATGGGCTGGAATGTGGTGCACTCATCCTTGGATCCTCTAAAAGACATTGGACTGAATATTCGATGAACTACGTAGTAGCCATGACATTTGTGGACCTCATAAAGGTCGCATAAAGCGTGGGGTGGTCTGCTTCTAGTGGTACGGGGAACAGGCACAGCGCGAGCAATCCTTTCTGATAACAGGGGCAGGGCGATGAAATTTTCTGCTGATGTTTCTATGATGCATCTGCACATCTCAATGTATTTTTCTCAAAACATTACTGAAACCTGCTTTATCGTGTGCCATTCGCATTTTAATTGTGAATATAAACACTTGCAGAATTAATCGTCCACAGCACCAACTGAATGCGATTTTGAATCGACGAATGAGGGAAATTTTACGGCGAAGGCTGCGAGATTCATCGGTTATCAGATCGATCGATGGTGACTCGAGTGGAGATTACGAGAGTGATGATACATCAGATGGTAGAGCCTCGTACGCTCGTGGCTTTGTGGCACCAGCATTCGCGAAAAGACTTCGTTCTTCACAGTCATATATCAAGAATCCTTTGAAACAGCTGTTGGAAGTGCCACGTTACATATAGCCTGATCGGCAGATACAGTGGCTCACGTTTTGTGCTGCGACATTCCAAACATTGTGTATTGAATATACCGATGTTCAGTTATGTATACAACAATTTACAGTGTCCCTTGCAGTGAAACTGATATTCTTCACTGTTATGGAAGTAACATCGATAAAATATGTCTCACGTGAATGGATAAATGTGCGATGACACTGTTGACTGAAGTCAAAAAATCACTCGAATGATGAAAATGATATATATCCCTTCCTTGATTTTTATTTACCAATCTGTTATCATTTCAGCGTTTTCATTGCTTCTTTGTTACAATGAATGCGCGAAAGATGAATTCATTGGAATAAATTCGTACTGATTGAATGAAAAATGCTAGCTTGCGAACGAGGCGTACCAAAAATTCTCAAGATTTTAGCTATGTGAAGTGCAAAATTGAAAAGTTATGTAAACATTCAATTAATCTCTCAGATCCTTCCAAAGACATTCAAGGTTACACTCATTTTAGATTCGACATGCAATTCAGCTGCTTCACTGATCGTCAATATCAATATGTGATTATCAGTCTTCATGTGTCACTGGTTATCAATTCAATGCATAAATCAAGTTTTATACCAACTTGAAACGGCGCCTGATAATAAACTAGTTTTTATTCGGGTGTATTGTCTGAGTTTTATACAGTAAATACACGACTCTATGATGTAGCTGATCACCTGTCAAATAAAAATCCAAAAATTTTTTTGTTCAAGGACGATGGGTGTGCAAGTATCTGAGCCGTCTGAGTCGTCGAATAAGTCCGTGTCGTGCGGGATGCAGAAACCTTAAATAAGCACTTTTGCGCCTTTCAGAACGAAGGCCGTTCCGGATGAAATATTTGCTTTGGTTCGTCTGCTCTGAGGACAATCCACCGGTGGATAAGTGCGCATTTCGTATTGCTGTATTGATGTGCTCAGTTCGTTTTGCAAGTAACCTGCAAACGGATTCAAAACAATCATTGTGCTGCTTATTGGAATGCTCGGAAACTTAGCAAGATCTTAAAACCCGAGTGATACTTCCAATATACTTTTGTCGAAAATTTCATTTTATATGCATCGATATGACATTTGCACTAAAATTAGGGAAGGAAGATGCTAAAAAGAGAAGAGTGTGGACTTCGAAACGATTCATTGACAGAGATCGATGATGGGAATAATCAACAGTGAGATGAAATTTCCTGAAAGTCCAAAAAGCTTCATGTAACTTTTCTCTTGAGAATACGCTAAGTCTCAATCGAAACCAATGGTGCTCAGATCCTGGCACTCAATGCCAGTTTTCTTTAGAAAGACAGATAGCTGTTCAGTTCCTCCTTCACAAATCAGTCCCTTTTGAGTGACACATCCGAACGAGATCAAAAAATTGATTCAACGACCAAGAAGCTTGCCGTCAAGAAAGGATCGTCTGTGGTAACAGAGGAATCATTTCGCTGTCATCAAACATACATTTCGAAAACATCCGTGAACATTTATGGAAGTAAGCAGATGATAAAAATTAATCGAAATTATTTCGCCAATTTCCTCAAAATTAATTTCTCTCTAGCATAAGCAAATTCTTTCTTTTTAAGAACAGCTGATCCAATAATGAATGAAAAGGATGAATAAAAAAATTTTGAAAAGTAAACGTTTCAATTTTTTTGCATGTACCTTCCATTGGATAGTGGCACTGCTGAAGTGTTCCAAATCATATGCATCATGATGATAGATGAAAAAACAGTGACAGCGCAGACTCTAATGGGATTCATTTCACTTCAAATAGATTAAACACCAACTTTATGCCGGGTGAAATGCTGAAAAATCATTAAAACAAAATGTTCATGAAGTGAACTACTCGAACTCATCAAGCACTTCAACTGGCAATCATGTCAATGCAGGTCTACGACGCAGTCTAAATCCTGATAACTTAACATAATGTATGAAATGCTTCTCAGCTCAGTATCAGCAAAATCTGAAGGATTTATACACTGGGGTACAGTGAATAATAGCATGAACATTAAAGAAATTTAAGTCCAATCCTTAGTTTGTATTAGAATCAATCAATGTAATCCAATTTATTTTAATGTATAACGCTCTGATGGAATCAATAATCAGTAAATTCAGATTTACAATAGATCAACGAGAAATTGACTTGTTTTGCGAACATTACACTCATCGAACACCATCACCTAAGGATTTAGATTATAAGAAAATACACATGTTCGATCCGTTCAGGATCGGATAGTAAGCATAACAACGAATGAACTAGACCGATGCCCTTATATAGGCTTTATCATTTCAAATTCACACGAACATCAAAAATGAATTTATGCGAGAATTACAATGAATTAGGAGAATATTCACTAGTTTAAAAATACGTCATTAATCAATATCTGGAAAAATTCATTTCAAAAATGGCTAAAATCGAAGATTCCATATTGCTCAGGTGATTTCACACTCAGCATGTTGCCATAAAAGTATACCGTAGCATATTTTCTCATTCATTTTTCGACATCGCGTGATCATAAATTGAATGTCTAATGCAGTAGTGGTAACCTATAATCAGAATCCCCATCCAATGCTCTCAGCCGCATCAAAACCATTTTTCAATCCATCAGTAAATCTATCATCACATTTATGAGCATGTTCAGCTAGATGAATCATATTCATTCACCCATCGCAAATACACGTCAATAGAAAGCCAGGAATACATGATTGGATTCAGTTCGAATGAATTAATCAGTGAATTTCCGGCATACTAGGAATGCAGCAGTGATTTTAAAACACTGAATTAATGTGTTCCCATTACTAATTTTGAGCCTAAACGATCATGAAATTGTTGATCGAATATAATTCTTCCTCTCATAAGAGCGAACGGATGCATAGACTGTGATATTTGCCTCTAAATTAATTCTGGCATCATTTACTGACAGGATAACGGCGAAATTAGAGTGTAAAAATCCTATTGAGATTTATATCACATTATAAGCCTTATCTTGCTGGCAACGAATCTCTTTTTTAATTGTTGGCAATTAACCGTCTGAAGCCAGTGAATAATCCCAACCCAATGAATTGCTGCAGCAATGTTCCATCATGATATGCATAATTGATGGCAGTCATGACATCTTGGTGCTTGATGAGGCATCAGATTGTAACAATAGGCTTCATTCGGCAAAGATTAGAGACTATAACACCGACATGTTAAGGAAGATTTGCTGAAAAAAATCGAAATAATAATTTTAAAATGAGCACAGATATCGAATCACCAATGAAATGGTAATCGTTCAGTTCGAAAGACGCTTATATATTACAGTTGTTTTTTGCGCTTTAGTCTTCATATCGACGCATATTCATCTGTATGCCAAATTAATTTTTATCAAATCCCATATCGTAAATTTCACTGAGTAATCAAGTATTCAAAAATTTCCAGTGATTAAATCAAATATTTATGGTTAGCATATGAAGACTGCAATTGTTGTCCAATAGAGTTTTAAACTGTTCCTCGGAAGAAGTCAAACAATGAACATGTATTGATACGCGGTTCTTGTTGACGTATACTTTTGTATCAATAATTTTGTTGCTGATATTTCAATTATTACTTGGACATCGAGTGGTTGTTTCGTCGATCGCGGTGAGCGATCGGCGGAATATTTGTTTTATTAGAGTAATGATTATTT